TGTTTGCTAAGAGATTATTCAAATTGCAGGTTGTTGCGAGGGATTTTTGGACAATTGAGTTTAGTGAATTGAGCTGGGTTCGATGGAACCTATTTGCCGGATTACATCAAACCTAGATTTTCTGGGTTCCGTCGAACTTCATAACCGATGGGCAAAGAAGCAATTGTTAGTGGTGATATGGGACCCATTTGAATGGATTTGGTGTGTTTTCGCCAGGTAGCATGTGACATGGCAAAAGTTTTATTCATGTCATCACTTTTTTAAGTTTTGCTCTCCACATCATAAAAAAAAATATAAAAAATGCCACCTAAGCAGGGTTAACGGCCCAAATTAACAGAAGGACTAACGGAGTGCATTTCGTATAGTTGAGGGATCAACAAAGTGCAAAAAATTGTTAAGGGACCAAAAATGTGCATTTCTTAAAGTTGAGGGACCAAATTAAGCATTTAACCAATCTATTTTGGTGAGTTTTTCGTGAATCTATCTTGCTTGGTGATTACTCTTCCTTTAGTCTTTCAAGCAAGAGAGTAGTCAAAATCTACAGTCTGTCACCAGACAGATTTGACTGAGGAAGAAGAAGTCATTGAGATCCTAGCTAAGGAAGATGGTGGCATGGATTCAGCAGATAAAATCATTTTTGAAAAACCAAAAGAGAGGATAGCTAGACATATCAGGCCATTATACATTCATGCACATCTGGATGGTATGCCAATAAATCGAGTTCTGGTTGATAATGGAGCAGCTATCAATGTTTTGCCAACTTGTATTATACACAAAATTGGCAAATCTTTGGGTGATTTAATGGAGACAAAAGTGACAATCAGTGACTTTACTGGTGGAGTAAATTGCTCAAGGGGAATTCTGCCAGTAAAACTTACCATTGGAAATTGAACTCTCATGTGTGCATTCTTTGTGGTTGACACCATTGCCACTTATAATGCATTGCTTGGGAGAGACTGGATACATTCCAGTTGGTGTGTCCTTTCAACTCTGCACCAGAAATTGATATTTTGGAATGGTGGCAGAACTGAGGTTGTGACAGCAGATGACAAGCCTTTTGTGGCAAATACCAATGTAGTGGAAGCTCGTTATTATGATGAAGATATTGGGATTATTTGTTTCTTTGGGATGGATCGCTATGACAGACCTTCTGGAATTACTGCTTGCACCAGATCTGCAATGGACAGATAGACTGTGAATGAGGTTTGTGATGAACTTCTTCGGCCTACAGCAATTGTTCCATGAAGAAAGACCGCATTAAGCACCATAAAAAAGAGGCCGTGGAAGAAATCAAGAGAAAATTAGCGACCTACCTTGCTGAAAAACGGATCTGTGTAGACAGATCTGAGGTAGTTTATGAAGGGGAAGAGGATAACTCAAAGGATCAAATAACACTAGAGGAATTAGATCTGGCACCAGCAAAACTTGATGATCTGAAGGCAGAAGTACAAGATCCCCTGAAAGAGGTAAATCTAGGTACTGAGGCAGATTCAAAAATTACTTTTATTAGCGGTTCTCTTGAGCCATGTTTCCGTGATAAAATCATCAGTATCTTGCATGAATACAAGTATTGTTTTGCTTGGGATTATCCTAAAATGCCAGGTCTGGACAGAAATCTGGTGGAGCACAGATTACCCATTAAAGAAGAATTTAAACCTTTCAAACAGCCGCCCAGACGAATGTCTCTAGAAGTTACTTTGAAGGTTAAAGAAGAGATAGAGTGGCTGTTGAAGGTTGGTTTCATCATAACTTCCAGATATGTGGAATGGTTATCTAATGTGGTTCCTGTAGTTAAAAAGAATGGCAAGCTGAGAATATGTGTAGACTTCAGAAATCTGAATCTGGCAACACCAAGATATTAATATCCTATGCCTATTGCAGATTTATTGGTGGATGGTGCAGCACGCTACTGAATTCTGTCATTCATGGATGGCCACAATGGATACAACCAGATTTTTATAGCAGAAGAGGACATTCCAAAGACCGCTTTCTGCTGCCCAGGAGCTATTGGTACGTATGAATGGATGGTAATGCCATTTGGTTTAAAAAATGCAGGCGCAACTTACCAAAGAGCCATGAACACCATCTTTCATGATATGATTGGTCGTCTTATGGAGATTTATATTGATGATGTGGTTGTGAAATCTAATGAAGATGAAGAACATCTAGGGCATTTAAAGATGGCTTTTGAAAGAATGAGGAAGCATGGTCTGAAGATGAATCCTTTAAAATGTGCATTTGGCATTGATTATTGGGTTGGAAGTGTTGGTAGAACTCAAGGTACCCATGGTAGAAATAATTGGTGACTCATAATTAATTTTAAAGCAACTGGAAGAGGAGTACAAGTGCACTAGTTTGTCTTTGGCACCTTATTTTGCTTTGGTAGTACAGCTCTTGGAGGAGTTTGATGATGTTATCTTGAGACATGTTACTCGAAATCTGAACACAGAAGCAAATGAGATGGCACGAATCAGCTCGGGTTTAAAAATCCCAGAAGGCGTGATGAGCAGAATTGTTGTTGTGGAAAAACGAATTCTGCCATCTATTCACATGTGTGGTATGACAATTTCTACTTGTTCCATAGATGTAACCCGAACAGATTGGCGCTATCCGATCATGGAATACCTAAAAAATCCAAATTTTAAGGCCTCAAGAAAAACAAAAATGCAGGACTTGAATTATGTTCTGTTGGAAGATGTTCTTTATAGAAGAAGAGATGATGAATTACTTCTGTGTTGTCTTGGTCCAGATGAGTACTGCCAGATTATGTCAGATGTGCATAACGGAATCTGTGGTGCACACCAAGCAAGAATTAAAATGAGATGGCTAATTCGTAGACATGGATTCTTTTGGCCATCAATCTTGAAAGATTGCATCAGCTATGCTAAAGATTGCAAAGCCTACCCAATTCACGGACCACTACAGAAAGTTCCAGCGTCAGAACTCCATCCAATCGTCAAACCATGGCCATTTCGAGGATGGGCCATAGATTTGATCGATAAAGTTTATCCTCCTTCAACTAAAGGGCATTCTTTTATTATTGTTGCCACATATTACTTTACCAAGTGGGTGGAAGTAAAGCCAATGAAGAAGGTTGACCAGACCGATATTATTAAATTTCTTTAGGAAGAAATCATTCACAGATTCGGTTTGCTAGAAATAGTGACTTCAAATCAAGGGACAGTTTTTGTTGGGGTTAAATACCCTTTTTGGTCCCTCTACTATATGAAAAAGCCCTTTTTTGGTCCCTTTACCGAAAAAATACCTTTTTTGGTCCTTACTGTTCACAAATCCGGCTCCTTTTTAGTCCTTCCGTTAAATTTTGGCTGATGTGGCAGGTTAATTAACGGAAAAACTCATTTTGTTTTTTTTATTAAATTACGTGAAAAATCCATCTAGTAAAAAATGATGACATGGTTAAATTTTTTACTTTTAATTACTGATTTGCCCTCAAAGATTGATGACATGGTAAAATTTTTTCCTTTAATTACTAATTTACCCTCTTCTTTCTTCCCCATCCCCTCCTTCGTCCGGCCTTTTCTTTTTTTTCTTTTTCTTCTTTTACCTCTAGGCGATGGGTTCGCGAGGTGCGAACCCACGAGCTGGGTTCGCACCCACGAGCCTTTTTCTCCTTCATATTAACACTGGTTGGTTCATTTTGTTTGTTCGTTATGGCTGCCTTTTAGGTTTTGCGAACCCAAGCTCTTGGGTTTGCCTGGAGGTAAAAGAAAAAAAAAGGCTGGAGGAAGAAGCTGGGGAAGAAGACGAGGATATATCAATAATTAAAAGTAAAAAATTTAGCATGTCATCAATTTTTGTCACGTGGATTTTCCACGTAATTTAATAAAAAAAAAAGAATGAGTGTTTCCGTTAATTAACCTGCCACATCAGCCAAAATTTAACAGAAGGACTAAAAAGGGGCTGGATTTGTGAACAGTAAAGACCAAAAAAGGATTTTTTCAGTACAGGGACCAAAAAATAGCTTTTTCTTATAGTAAAGGGACTAAAAAGGGTATTTAACCTTTTTGTTGGTGCACAAGTTGAGGCGTTTGCAAAAGAAATGGGATTTAGGTTACTCACTTCAACCTCTCATTATGCTCAAGCCAATGGTCAAGCTAAAGCTTCCAACAGAATTGTGATAAATCTGCTTGAAAAAATGGTTGATGATAATCCAAGGCGTTGGCATGAGTTGTTATCTAACACAATCTGAGCTTACAGAACTTCACAAAAGAGTTTTACCAAGGTAACTCCTTTCTCTTTAACTTATGGACATGATGCTGTTCTGCCCATGGAGTTGTCTGCTAGATCATTGCGTATAGCAATTCAACATGGTCTCACTTCTGGAGAATATAATGAAGCAATGATTCTAGAGTTAGAAGACCTTGAAGGTATGCGATTGACGGCCTTAGATAGGCTGCAAACGCAGAAATTAAAAGTGGCTCAAGCATACAACAAATGGGTGAAATCCAGAAGTCTGGTAGAAGGAGATTTGGTATGGAAAGTAATTCTGCCACCTGGAAAGAAAGACCACAGATTTGGGAAATGGTCTCCAAATTGGGAAAGACCATTTTGTATACATGAAGTGCTTAGAGGAGGAGCATATTGGCTTGAATCATTAAATGGAGAGTTACATCCTTGAAGAATAAATGGACCCTTAAGCCTTACTATCCTATGATATGGGAGGCTAGGGGTTCGGATACCATTGGTTCTACCTGAGACGGATTTGAGGTAAGATTTATACAGTATTTTATTTTATTGTTTAGCATTTTATCATTCAATAAAAGTGCTGAGCCGAATCTGCAAGTAGGCCAAATCTGGCTGTGAACAACCACAGCAGCCAGATTTCGGCCATGTCAGATTTCAACCTGTAACAGAGTATGAACAAAAAGTACAAGAAGCAAATTTCCAGAATATGAGCAAAGAAAGAGATCAACATTGGAAAAGAAGTTTGCATGGCCAATAGGCCGCAAACAATAAGTTCAAGGATCACAATATGCAAGTTCAACTAGCAAAAAGCAAAGGAGATACATAAAAGAAAAATCAACAAAGGTTGTTTTGCCAAGTACTCCATTCTTCTTTCATGTTCTTGATTTCTTCAGCGACTACATCTGCAGAAGCTGTGAAAGATGGCAACTAATCCTTGATCTTGGCAGCAAATTTCAAACCAGCTTCCATGTCTGTGTGGAGCTTGTTTCTTTGTCCTGCCAAACTCTTCTCAGTTTGCTTCGTAAGAGGAACCTGGTTTCTTAACTCTGAAAGCCTGGCTTCAAGGTTAGAAAATTCTTCTTTAAGCTCTTGGAGATGTTTAACTTGTGTGACATGAGCAACCTTTGCTGCCAAGAATTCTTCCTTCTTCTTAAAGACAGCTGCAGTGCTATCCGCTATAGATTTTCTCATAGATTCTGCAGCCGTTACTT